CCATTGGTCAAACTCTGCAGGGAGCCCAGCAAGCTCCGCCTCCGCCCGACCCCTGCCGCCACCCCCACCCCGGAAGAGGACGGCTCACTTGTGTTGATGAGGAACTGGTTCGAGACCCCAGGGTGGTCCACATCGTGGATGGCAGCTGCGAAGAGGGCCGCGAGAATCTCTAGGTCTGTGAACACCGCCTGGGGGCCGAGAGGTGGGGACGGCAGAGGCAGTGTTAGAAGGAAGGGGAGCGACAGGTAAGAGGCATGGAGTCGGAGAGACGGGACACGGGAGAGGGGCAGGCGCTCACGTCCAGGGCCGGCGTGGCCAGCAGCACGTGCGTGGACTGCAGCACGTCGGCGGCGTGCAGGCTGTTGTGGTAGGCCACGTCGGCGTGGTAGTGGTCTTCCAGCGTCAGCATGTACGTCACCATCGCGTCCACAGGGATGCGGAATTTCTTCAACAGGTCCCGTTCCTGGGGGCCACAAGGGCGGAGCGGTGACCCTGCTGCCCCCCAGTGTCCCACCCTGCGACCCTCACAGTCCTGCTGCCCCTCACCTGAAAAATCGTGTACATGATACAGCTCAGCGAGCGGCCCCCGGCATAATCGGACACGCAAAAGATGTTCAGGCCCCACTTGCTTAAATTCTTCAGTTCCTGGTGGAGATGGAGGTCAGAGGTCAGAGGTCAGGATCCTTTTGCACTGAACCCAGGTCTTACACGAAGAGCTACCTTCCCCAACGCTTTTTTCATTTTCTTATGCGGAGGCAGGATCTCGCTGTTCGTTACCCAGGCTGGACTTGAACTTGTGATCCTCCCGTCCTCAGCCTTGAGCTACTCTCTTTTGAGCACTTATTTTCCACTAAGCACTTGATCTCATTTGGCAGGTGAAGGACCTAAGGCCCGGAGAAGGAACGTGGCTGCTCTGAGATCCTGAGGTAGCTCACAAGTGGCAAGCTGGGAGGCAGCCCAGCTCAGGCTCTAAGGTAAACTGCTCAAGAACCCTCCAACCTGGATGGGCATGGGAGGCACTGACTCATCTTCCACATCACCCCAGAATCCAGAACAGAGGGAGAACACAGTAGATGCTCAATAAATCCAGGGTGACAGGCACCCTCTGGTGGTGCGCCGGAGGGTTAGATAAACATTAGTGCGGAGGGGTCACTTGGAGCCCTGCCCCTGGCGAAGGCCCACTCACTTGGGCCAGGAGGTCCTCCTGATCCGTCTTCACCCCGAAGCGGGGGATGCTGGCGTTGTTCAGGCTGCTGCTGCTGTGTGACAGCCTCTTCACCCCCGTGATCTGTGACATGGGATGCAGGTGCGGCACGGGGGGTGGGAGCTGCTGGGAAGGTCTCTGTCGCGGTGCTTCCTGCGGCTCTCGGTCTTTCATCGTGGGTGACGGGATCTCCACTTCATTCTGTTTGTCTGCAGAAGTTGAGGGGGCAGAACTGAGCACCCCTCCCGGGAGGCTCTTCAGTCCCTGGGCTTCTCACCACGCCCTGGGACGACTCACCCAAAAGGGTGGCACTCGGATGAGTGTTCTGGGGCTGGCAGCCAGAGGGGGCACAGGAGTTCTTGTGGGAGGTGGTGGGTGGAGGCAGGGGGCTTGGTACTGGCCCCATGAGGCTGTGCGTTGGCCCCTGCGCCACCCCCTCGTTTGATGGTACAGTGGTGTGGGAAGTTAGGGACCGCGATGCAGACACCAGGGAGGGCTGATGCCTGCCCTGGATACTTAGGGACCCTTCATGGCTGGGGAAGGCAACACCACGGTGTCCGAGAGGGCTGGTGGGAGAGGGCATTGCTGGCATCGGGGAAGGAACGGGGTTCTCTGGCTCCATAGCACCCCCTGTGCACCAGCTTGACTGGGGCCCAGCTCCACAAGACTTACTTCTCCATCTCCGTCTCCCGGAGCTTTCAAACCTGGTCAGGGCCACCCATTATGACTGGGAACCACCAGTCAATGACAGAGCCTGGTTAGGGGGTTATTTGCATACTAAGCTGCCACTGGCTGAATCCTCAGAACTCTGAGACACACCTCACCCTCATTGGCAGGAGTGTTTGAAACTCTAGGTCCTTTTATTTGAGTTTGCAGGGGTGTATGCATTGCGGGAGGGGGGGCTCTGGGGTTTGGTGATAAATCGTGAGGGTGAAATTCTCCTGTCTCTGGGGGTATCCCCACAAGTTTAAGGATGTAGATGAATTTGGGGGTACTCTACTGCATTTAGGGATCCATGATGTTAGGAGATTCTCCTACACTTGGGGAATTTTTTTTAAGCAAAAGATGTAACAGTACATTTTAGATATACAAAATGATAACATTTATCTTAGGGGAATTTGTACCTATACGTGATATATCTGGCTTCTTTTTTCCCTATTCCCCTTCGATCCTTTTGATTCCTTCTCCCCTCCTTATTTGCAAAAGCACTGTTTCCTTTTTGTTTTTTATTCTCTCTCTCTCTTTTTTTTTTTTTTTTTGTAGGGGGAAATCGCTTACAGGTTCTTTTCTTTTCTTTTTGAGACGGGGTCTTGCTATGTAGTTCAGGCTGGCTTTGAACTCACTATGTGGCCTAGGCTGGCCTTGAACTCACAGTAATCCTCCTGACTCAGCCTTCCGGGTGCTGGGATGACAGGCGTATGCCACCACCCCCAGCAGAGGCTTTTTTAAAGTGTAGGAATTCTATTTGAATTTGGGGGTCTGTTGGGATCTGGAGTTTAAGAGTTCCATTGGGGTTTTGTGGAGTTAAGAGGGGGTTTTCAGCTTAGAAATATATTTGCTTGATTTAATTTTATGTTTTTGTTTGGGGATCAAACTAGCGGCCTTGAACATGCTCACCACCGACTTACACCCCTATTCCCCAAGATGTTCTCTGTTTGCTTTAAAGAAAGCTTTATTTACTACACACATCCTTAGAATGTACTGTAAATGGAGCAGGATCTAAAAAGCCTTTCAAAAACAAAGCAGCTAAAGATAATTAAATGACTAGCATGTTTGGAAATAGAAGTCTTAAAATGTTTTTTTAAAAAACATTCATCAGGGCCGGGAATTTAGCTCAGTGGTTCCTCTGCCTGCCTCACAAGCACAAGGACCCAAGTTCGATCCCCGGTACCAAAAAAAAAATATTCATCTGCTGGGTGTGGTGTGCACTCCTGTAATCCCAGCGCTAGGGAGGCTGAGGCAGGAGGATCTCTGTGATGAGTTCGAGACCAGCCTGGGCTACAAAGTGATTTCCAGGGCAGTCTCAACTACATAGTGAGACCCTGTCTCAAAAACAAAACAAAAGCCGGGCATGGTGGTACATGCCTATAATTCCAGCACTTGGGAAGCTGAGGCAGGAGGATCAATGTGAGTTCGAGACCAGCCTGGGCTACATAGTGAGTTCAGGGTCAGTCTCAACATAGTGAGACCCTGTCTCAAAAAACCAAAACCAAACCAAAACAAAACTCATCTAGTTTGTTCTTGATCTTAAAAAAAAAAAAAAAGCCAGGGATTTAGCTCAGTGGTTCTACCGCCTGCCTCACAAGTGGAAGGTCCCAAGTTCAATCCCCAGTACAGGGGGAAAAAAAAAGTTCACATTTCAAGAAACTTACTCCATTAGTATACAGTGAAATGGTTTTGACACAGCAGGAGCATAGAAGACACAGGAGGCTCAGTAGTACTTCACTGGGCGTCACCAAATTTGTTTTTAGGGTAGTTTAGTAGTGACCACGTTAAGATACCTGTTTGTTTGTTTTTGTTATTGTTTTTGCTTAAGACATTCTTAAAGGTGGGTTCCATAGAAATTGGGGTCCCACGGAGTTCGGGGGCCTCATGAGTATGGTGGCTTTGACCTTTGGGGAGTTGGGGGGTTGGGGGAGCCCCCGCCCAGACGTCCCCCCAACTCCAGTCCTTCACTCACCCAGGAATGTCGTGGAAATGTACTCTGAGACCTGGTTCCCCGACCTGCTCATTTCTGACAGGTGTGTGAGCTCGCGGTTCAGCATCCTTTTGAACTAAGGTGAAGGAGCCAAGAAGGGAGGGATGATGGGGAATCATTGCAGTCATTGTGGGGTGCACGGGTGGGTCACCCCTTCCCAACGAACCCTGCAGGACCTTGGAGGTCCCTCCCATTTCAGTCAGAACCCCCGCCAGACTGCTAGAGAGGAGCGGTCAGCCCTTCCTCTCCTGCCAGCCCCCTGGGTGGGGGTCCCCAGGCTGGATGTGGAGACCAGGATCAGCGAACCCCTGCTTGCTGGAGAAAAGAGGGACTCCCCGCCCATATCTCCCCCCAAGGAGGAGTCAGAGGGGCACCTGTGGAAGGGAGGGGCTCTTGCCTATCAGGGAGCCAATGGGGTGCCAGGAGAATCCCATCGCCATGGTGATGGGAGTCTCCTTAGCAACTGCCCCTCCAACCAGCTGCTGATCTGGAGAAAGGGGGGCAAGCTGGAAGCCCCTTAACCCTTGCCTTCCCGGATTACCCCTGGCCTAGGGCTTGCCAGGCGTGAACTCCAATTCCTAGGCGTCCTGGCCCTCAGCCCCGGCCCAGCTTGGAGGAAGAGTCTGGAGCACCCAAGCTCTAGGAAAGCAGAGGTCTGGCCAGGGTTAGGGGAAGAGTGAGAGGAGGAAACCCCAGTCTGGTCACCCAGGGGAGGGGGACGGGGGTTCCCCTCCTAGCCCCCTCCCCCAAGCCCAGGGACACGGACGGATGCACAGATGAATGGAATATACCCGGAGCTGGCCTTGGGGGCCCCTCCTGGTCCTCCCGTGCCCCTTCACACAGGCCGATGTTGTGACATTGTGCGCGGAGGAAAAAGGGCATCGGCTCCCCGCCCCCAAGCTCTGCCAAAGCCTCCCAAAAGCAGGAGCGGCCTCTGTCTGGAGAGGCAGGAGGCACACTAGGCACGAAAGGTGTCCCCTGTGGGAACAGGGTGGTCTCTTCACCCAGTTCTGCCCAGAGGCCCTGGACACACACACCGCACACATGTCACAACGGCACACGGAGTCCCGGCTGCCCTCCTCCTGTAGCACCACACAGCCCAGACACACAAATCACGGGGACACAAACAACAGAGCAGTCAGTGACATTCAGGGTCACACGCCCCAGAAACATCAGGCTGCTCGGGCTCACAAACGTGGTCCGACACACACAATCACGGTCAGAGCCGTGTGATCGCAGACAGGGCCACGCCATGACCCGGACGGGACACACACCCTCGCAGACAGACATCTCATCTGCACGCTGTCACACAGGGAGAGATCTACCCTCCCCAGGGGGCCACACACCCCCCGGCCACCAGCCTTCCTGGCCCAGCCCCGGGCTACACAGATGGTGCCAAGGCGTATCCTGCCACACACGTGCACGTCTGCACACAGCAGCCCTACCCGGGCGGCAGCCGCCCACCCTCCATCCCTACCTGGTCCCACCAGCCCACCAGCCACGGCTTGGAGCAGGTCTCGCAGAAGAAATCGACCAGGGGCATCTTGGAGCCTTAGCCCCGCTCGGGGCTGCTGCACACTGAAGCTCAGCCC